GGGGTGAGAGTCAGGTATAAACTCTGACTTTGATCCCTTTACCTCCCTGAGCCATAATTTTTTCTCTTTAATACTACATAGAGATTGTACCTACTTTTTAGTTATAAGAATTAGATTAAAGAACATTTATCGATAATATATGGATTTCACACACAGCTGATATCCCCCCATGTGGTGAGGGGCTAAAACCTAGTAAATATTCAGGTAATATTAGTTCTTCTCCTTCTTGGTAAGAACATGGTCAGAAATCTTTCCCCCAGGGGAAGGGAAGGGAGCACATCACAACAGGTGGCTCATTAGAAAAAAAAGTTGAGGCAAATCAAGGAAAATGAGTGGGTGTGCTGATTTGTGTGTGTGTGTGTGTGTGGCCAATACACCTGAGTCCAAATCCTGGCCTCCTTACTAGCTAAACAAATCCCTCCACAGTCTGAGCTCACTGGTCTGTCTTTTCTGTGTCTTTCAGGTCACTGCCATAGGCCAGGAGAGCTCTGTCCACCTTCGGGACTTCAGATTTATATTCCACCCACTCTGTCACCTCTTTAGCACACACTTGCAGACCTCCTGTTCTTTGCCAAAGTCTGAACTGAGAGTGAGACATATAGAGGCAAATAAAAGAGAGAACTCTCTGTGAAAGGAAATCGAGACTTGTGGGAAGACCTCAGGTTCACAGGGAAGGTATGAGCCAAAGGAAAAGCCATGAAGAAGGTTGGGGGTGAAAGTCAAGGTCACAGTTTTATTCATCAGGACAGAATACCTTTTCCTGCAATAACAATGTCTACATCACCGAAAGCTAAGACAAAGATACACATGCAGGTAGCATCATGTGAGACCAAAGGATTCCTTGGTAGCACCTGTCTATGTGCTGTCCTAGCTTCCAGACTGCTCATAGCTCATGGTTCCTTCATGTCCATAGGAGGTCTTTGGTTATCAGGGCAGGGAAGGAAAGATGATGGAGGGTCCTGTACCAGTTCTCTGTCCAGACTGACATAGTTATGTCCCTTCAGTGAACAGAATCAGCATCCCGTTCCTGCCTAATCGCAAGGGCTATGTGCCCTGAAAGAGAGGAGGGGTATACATCCTGGCAAGCTGCCCTGGAGCAAGGAAGCAGGGGCACATCCTACCCAAACTCAATCAGGGAGAGCTGTTAGTTTTGGTCTTTTGTTTCATTAGCACTTAGCACCTCGCTTGGCACAAGATGAAAAGTCAACAAACCCTAAATGGAAGAAGGAAAGGAGGGAGAGGAGATAGTCCCGTTGCTAGGGGTTCCAGCTATTCAGAACTCCCTGTGCTCCATGTAGGAAGGTCTCCCTGAACTAGGGCTGTGGTAGTTGTGGCTGGCGAGGCGTGCACCCAGCTCCACACGAGCAACACTCACACCCTGGCAGTTCCCACCCTAAGTCCCTGTGCCCACTGGGCCAATCAGGATTCTACTCGCCCTCTTAAGAAATGGCCCCATTTCTGCTCATGGCCCTATTAGAAAAGCCATGGGCAGTGAAGCTCATCTTGCTTGGATTTGACTCCTGAGCCCTTCCCTCTCTCACTGTGTGTCTTTGGGACTAGTTCTGGATATACTGAAGCCTCAGTTTCCTCATCTCTAAAGCAAGGGCCTCTCTCAAGGCACAGACCCTTCAACAAAAGGTGGCTTCACCTTCAGTGACCCATCTCTCTGGAGGCCACACCCTCGAGCCCTTTGGGATATTATGTCACAGCCCTTGGAATGTCACCTCCCATAAAAATCTGAGCTTCCCACTGAGCACCCTTCAGCTCGGGTGCAGCCTTCCCTGTCTCTTTTCAGCAAAGTGCCTCATGTCTGGGTACCCATCCAGCACCTGTTCTGGCCTAACAGCAGGGCCAGGGGGATGTGCTCTATGGAGGGTACCTGCAGCTTCTGTGTGTGCCCTTGAGCCACCAGGATGGAAGTGGGGCTATTACTGGCCACTAATAATTACAGATAGCAAACCACCAAGAGATGGCTGAGCCACGAGCATCAGAGGTCAGGCGAAGTTCTCTGAGGCACCTCTGATTCTACAGGCTTCTGGAGGGTCCTTAGGGATTCCAGGAGGGGGCTAACCCACCCCATTCACTCATTTGCTCTGAGTTATGGGGTAGCTTCTGCATTCAGGTCCGTGCCAACAAGTCACAATAAACATACTTTATTTTTATAAACTCTTCGAAATACCACCGCTTCTGTTTTTCTTCACAGTGATACAATATATTCGGCAGAAGGAGAAAAGGAAGTGGTTGGATGGTTAAATGGTAAAATGATTAGCAAGCAGTGTGACTTTCATGGAATCGGATTTTGAAAGCTGAAAGTTGTTTGTATTTTTCAGGCCGAAGTGCCCGTCCCCGTGAAGAAATAGAAGCAGGAGAGAAGGTGACTCCAGCCTTGTCCCCATAGGCACGGCGCTCCAAATTACCACTCCCAGCAGCTCGGTCCAAGGACAGGAGTGAAGAGTAAGGAGACCCTACAGGCCGCTGACAACCCAGGTGGTTTTGTATCAGGTTCTGTATAAAGCTGCGGACACCACGTTGTTGTTTTGCTTCTTGATGGGTAAAGGAGAAGTTTTACGTCTTTGCATTTGGAGGACTGAGAACCGCACCGCGTCCCTTGTGAGTGAAACATCACAGTGATAAGCTCTGTACCTACTATAACAGAGCCATTTCTGCACCATAACCCTGGCTTTATGTTCACGTTAGAAAGAGAAGAATGAAGGCAAACACATTGTTTTCAAAACGCCTAGAATTCCCCAAACTTGTTAAGAACCAGGCACACAAATGAAAAGAATGTTGGTTTTTTTCTTCTCTCTTTGAGCAAAATTTATTAAAGCAAGGGCAACTCCATTCTCGATTTCCTTTGTGGTGGAGGAGGTGCCCAGGGCCCCTTTCAACAGACTCAGGCATTAATAGAACCTAATTCTTTAATGGACTCTGGGTGCATTTCTTTCTTGCATCTTGAGGTCTTTAAAAAGCCTGTGGTAAGTTACACTGACATAAACCTTTTATAGAAACAATCAAATTTCACTTGGTAAAATAATTAGCATAAGAATAGCACAAAGTCAGTCTGTCTGATACTTGGTGCCAACGATCAAAAGGGCTCCTGCCAGCCCGCATCTTTTTCCTATTTTGGGGGTGAAGAGGGTGAGTTTTCTCCTTCTTCCAGCCAGAATCGAAGACGGAGGCTAAGGTCTGTGCTGCAGTCCTGGATGTGGCATATTATTCTGGGAGGGGCCCAGAGGCTGCAGGGGTGAAGGAGAGAGGTGGAGGGTGGACGGCGCAGAGGTTGGTCTGCGTCTGCCTGACCAACTTCCCTTTCTGCTCCCCGCACACCCTCAACCCATCCCCTCCCCACACAGGCCTTGAACTTCCTGCCTGGCTTTCCGAGCGTTTTCTCTTGTTGACCAAATATCAGGAGCTTGGTTTTGTTTACAACCTTTGAAAAATATCTCAGGAAAGGAGTGTCTTCTCTTGGGTCCAGATAAGATGCTGCCGAAGGGTCCCGGCAAACGTTCCTTCTGAGATAAAGCATCCGTGTTTGAGCCTGGAAGTGGGAATTCTTAGAAACTGATAAATTGCTGGGGTTGTCTGGCTAGGCTTCACCATGGAGAGACCCCACACTGGCCACCTTGCCTAGGAGTGAGTAATTTCCCCATGAACAAGCCTGGACTGGTCTGAGACACAATGGAAATACATTTGTTCAACTAAAAGTGAAAAGACTCCATGCTTTTCCATACTTCAGTATGCAGCCAACCACCTGAGTTGGAAATTAGACACCGATTTTCTCTGCCATCCCAAAGCTGTTTGATTCCATTGCCTTGTGTGTCAAAGACCCAGACTCCAACCCCCTGGGTTTCGGAGACCATCTTCTCCTGTCAGCTTTAATTTAGCTGATAGACATAAAAAGGAGTCGAGTTTTAAAAAAATAAACAGGCAGTTCTCATTAGCTGGGGACGGTTGTTGGGCAGGGGGCTTGCAGTCCACTAGGAGCAATTCTGGAGAACAGAAGAGGCCCTGTTCAGCGCACAAAAGTCCCGAGTACCTGTGCCCTGCCCTGGTTGGGGGTGGTTACCCACGCATCCTGTGTGACAGGCAGAAAGGGAGTCGAGTGAACCACAAAATTTCCTAATTAGTGTGTGGGGAGTGCTTCTGATAGCAATTTGGAGTAAAAAGAGGTGTCCCTGTGGTGAGGGGCTGAGGAAAAGTAAAAGAAGTAAGAGTAAAATAAGTAAAAGAAAAGAAAACCTGGAGGAAGTGATAAGAGCAGGAGGCCCATTCACTCTAGGCACAGAAAACGGTTCTGGAAGTTTTTCACATGCGACAGAATTTCTCCCCCCACACTAGAAACTGCTGTTCACATATGGCAACACAGTCCCCAGGCACCTAGCATATGTAAGGACACAAGGTTTTATGACTTATTGTCGGTAAGATTTATAGAGATGATATATGATCGGCGATTTTTCATCTTCTCATATGAGGAGTGCACTTGGAGAGGCACAGGCTCACAGCACAGTCGCAGAGCTGTAGGATCCCTGCACCAGGTCCCCCAATCTCCTGGCCTTACCTGGTGTCACAGCCTCCTCTTAATAAAGGAGCACCCTGCGGTAAGGGCAGCAACAATTTATTTGATTAAAATGGGCTACCCTGGAGCTATTTTGTGGTATGCTAATGAGTGCTGTATCACAGACATTTATTAAATTAGATTTCATAAATGTCAGCAGTGTTTAAACAGGAAGCGCACCTGGCTAAATGTGGATGGAGCTTGGAATTAATGTTCCCCTCCAGAGAAAGCAGGGGCACTCCTGCCTGCAGCAAGGTGAGCGCAGCCTGCAGCCACGGCAGGTGTGGGGCTGGGTGTTCAAGAGCAGCACTGCTGGGGCCTAGCAATTCTGCCTCCTGGCTGCGCGCCACGGAGAAAGACTGTAAGGGGCTCAGAGGAAGGAAACCAAGGGACTGAATATTTCTGTGGAACAGGCTCTCAGCCTCCGGTGTCAGAACTTCTCACCTTTCTGTTACAGGAGCATCAGCACAAATGCGCAGTTGAGAAAACAGGACGTCAGAGGCAAGGAGCATGGGTGGCAAGAAGACACAGCGAGGCCCAAGCACTGAGACCTTGAGAAGAAGGCGGGGAAATGCTCAATGCCATTTTAGCCTCCCAGGCCGAGCCACCCTGAGCCAGCATCTCTCTCCTGTCTGTATTCACCACCTCTTATCTTCCAGGCTGTCTGTTCTGAAAGTGCTGGATCTGGCCAGTTGCTCTTTGAAGAAGCAAACAAGCAAAATAAGAGCAGCCCATTCAAACGAACCTCTGGAGCCATGGAGATCTCCACACCAGATGGCCAAATTGAGAGGGAAACCTACAGTGGCTTATCCCGGGGTGAGGAAGGGGTCTACACAACCAGCGGCGTAGCTTTAGGGGGACAGGGGAATGGCTGTGCCACACCCCTGTTTCATGCCTCACTAATACCTGTTCATCCTGCTTTGAACACTGTTTTCTTACAGGGTCCACGACATTTTAAACCTCTGGCAAATATATATATTCTTCCTTTGCATGGAGCCTGAGAGGAGCAGTGAATTTTGAGAATTACTTAGACTGTTATACATGATTTTCTTTTTAAACCTATTTGATGATTCTCCTGCCTCTTCTTTAAGGAGAGCAGAACACAGCACTGGCTGTGGAAACCTTCTGAAACTGCAGTAATCCAATAACATGCCTGTGGGCCGGGAGACAGGCACACACTCCGTGTTCCTTCCAACAGAGGCACTCGGAGGAAAGAAAATCAATAAGATGGATCCTTCAGATGTGCAGTTTATAGATGTACATCAGTGTTCTTGGATGGTGAACAAAGTGTGTGTCACTTTATATGTGATTTTGTGGGCATGAGGCCACCAAAGGACAGGGCACCCACTTTGGGACGAGGTGAGCACTACCATTTCTGACCATGGCAGCAACATGCAGATAGATACCCACTCCCTGTACAAAGAAATGAGACAGGAAAGTGAGTCTTCTCTCTCTCTCTCTCTCTCTCTCTCTCTCTCTCTCTCTCTC